AAAGTTTCTTCTTTACCTTAGAAGAAAATATTTCATGTTTTCTTCATTGATTATGATGTTAGTTGTGGGTATTTCATTTACTGCCTATATGGTGTAAAGATACATTCCCTTTATGCCTAATTGGTTGAGAACTAGTGTTATAAAATACCAAATTCTACTAAACTGTTTTATTTTTCAACCTATTGAGATGATCGAATGGTGGTGTTCCTCCTCCTTCATATGAGTATTTAAAACATCCTTGCCTCACAGGGACAATCCCATTTGAACATGGTCCATGTGAACACGGTGAATAATTCTCTTTATAAAGTGGAATCAGGTTTGGCAGAAATTACCAGTAAAACACTGTGGACATATCTTTGACAGATTTTTATTATGGATACGATTTACTTGTTATTGGTCTCTTCAGATATTCTTTCTCATGACTGGATTTGCATACATCATATGAGTATAAATTTTTAATTTATTCTACTCTGTTCTTTATTAGATGCTTCGTTCTGTAAAATTTGTACTGCTTGTTCTTCCCATTCTATTAATAGTTGCTTCAGGTGTAACATAAGTTTATTTTTAATTACTTTTCTGGTATCACAAACATTAGTATGTTGTGTTTCATCTTTCACTTGTCAAAATATTTTTTAACTTCCAAATTGATTTATTGATTCGCTCATTCATTATTTAAAAGCATATTGTTTAATTTCTATGTGTTTGTGAACATTCTAATGTCTATTCTAATAATTCCTAGGTTAGTGCAGTGTGCTTAAAAATGTGGTATAAATTCTGTACTATTAAATTTAATATTAATCTTGATTCCTAACATAAAACCTATGTAAAGATCCATCTTCTGTTGAGAAAAATGTAGACTGTGCTGCTGTTAGATGGAGTAGTCTGTATTATTTGGCATAAAGTATAGTGTAGCCAGATGTTTGTGTCTAGATGATCTGTCCATTGCTGAAACTGGAGTACTGAAGTCCCCTACTATTACTGTAGGGCAATCTATCTGTCCACTCAGAACTCATTTGTTTTATATAATTAATAACTTCTATTTTGGTGCATATGTATTTACAATTACTATAACCTCTTGCTGAATTAATCCTTTTTACCATTATGTAATAAACTTGTTTCCCAAATTTTATAGTTTTGGCTTCATGTATAGTTTAATGATATAAGTTTAACTACTATTACTCTTGCTTTTGATGAAAAACAATAGTAATTTTTTTTCATCCTATTACTTTCAGTTTTTCATCCTATTACTTTCAGTCCATGTGTCCTTACAAGTAAAGTTAATGTTTTAATATCCATTCTGCTACTCTATTCTGAATGAATAATTTAATGCATTTACATTCAAAATACTGTTAATACTTAAAGAAATAATGGTATTTTGTAAATTGCTTTCTTGTTTATTACTAGATCCTTTCTTCATTTTTTTTACTCTGCCACTACCTTGTATTGTAATTATTTTATCTTGTGAGATTTTAAAATTTCTTTATTTTTTGTGTATCTACTACAGATATTTGGTGGTTCCATGAGACAATAAAGACATCTGATAAGCTATTTTAAACTAATAATAACTTAATTTTGATTGAAAAATAACCTGTAACATTTTTACACCAATCTCTGAATTTGAATGTTTACCTGGATACATAAAAGCTGTACATTTTAGAAGGTACATGTGGTATTTTTATACATGCATATACTCTAGTAATTAAACTAGGGTAGTTGGGACATGCACCACCACAAACATTTCTCACTTTTATTTGGGGAACATTATAATTCCTCTATTTCAGCAACCTTAAACAGTCACATGAAATAACTGTTCACTGTTCTTCCCTTACTGTACTATCAAATACTAGGACTTATTTATTCTACTTGTTTTTGTACTCAGTAGTCGAAATTGTTGTCTTCCCCTCTTGGATAGAAGACCATTCAGTAACCAGCAATCAACTCTGCACACCAGCCAGATCAACTGTTTTATACCCATGTTTAACATACATGTGAGAACATGCAGTATTTTTTTGTGCCTGACTTCTTTCACTTACTATAATTACCTCCAATTCCAGTCATATTACTGAAAGTGATATGATTTAGTTCCTTTTAATGAACAATTCACAATAGTGCATATATATAACATCGTCATTTTCCTTGCATCCTTTGATAAACATTCAGGTTAACTCAAAAGTTATTGTGACTAGAGATGTAATAAGAAGTGGATAAAAATATCACCCTAATATATTGATAATTTTCACTGTGATAAATACCGAGCAGTGCAATTGCCACAGTACAGTGGTTATATCATTTGTTTAATGAGACAACACAATACTATTTTCAAAATGGCTATACAAATTCACATTCTCAGAAATGGTATACGACCATAACCAACTGTATGCATGGTCACCACCATCTGTTATTTGTCTTTCAGACATTTGTTTTAAATGAACAACATTCCATTGTGGCTTGAAATTGCACTTCCTTGATGATTAATGATGAAAATTTTTACATATACCTATTGGCAATTTATGCCTTCTATTGATAAATATTTGCTCTAATAATGTATTCTCAAAAAATCAGATAATTTGCTTACATTTTAATGACGTGAATATAAATTCTTGCCCCTGTAAAAAACAGTTATCCATTTTTTTCTCATTATGAATTGTCTTCACTATATTCTTACCTCCATCATGCAGAGACATTTTAGCTAGATGTAGGAACAAATGTCTATTTTTGATTTTGTTGCCTGTTTTTCAGAGCTTACCAAACAATCCTTGCCTAAACAAATATCCAGAAGCATTTATATAAAGATTTTGTCTACCATTTTTATACTTTCAGACAGAAGTATTTAATCTATATTAATTTTATTTTTACATATGGTAAAAGATTCATTCTTCTGCATATGATTATCCAGTTTTCCCAGAAAGTTTCATTGAAAGCATTATTCTTTTGACAACATATATTTATGGTGGTTTTTAAAAATGAGGTTGTTTTTGTAAATGTCTGGATTACTGAGCTCTCGATTTCATTCCATTGATCTACGTGTATATTATGCCAATATATCACATTATGTTTACAATGACATTGTATTATCTTTTGAGACTGTCCACTGATTTTTAATTTATTTCTATGAAAAATATCATTGGTATTTAATACAAAAACAATGAATCTGCAAACTGCTTTAGGCAGTAATAATATTTTAATTATGCTTCAAAAGTTTGACTATTTGACGTTTTTGTAGAGATTCCAAATGAGATTGCTTTCCTGATTTTTTCTGAAGACTGTTCACTGTTGGCAAATGTAAATGCTACAAATTTCTGTATTGCTCCTTAGAATCCTGCAACATTATTTAACTTCTTTTCATTTGGATGCCCATTATTTCACTTGTTTAGTAGCTCTGGATAGAATGTTATGTGGAATAAAAGTGGATATCCTATCTTGTTCCAGATACTAGAGGAAGGAATTTCAATTGTTCTTCATCATATTAGCTATAGACTTGTTATATGTGAATTTTATACTTGTTTTTATTCTGGATTTACCTACCACTAACTAGTTCACTTGTTCATAAAAATCATATAGGTTTAAATACTATGAGTGCATGATAATATGTATATATATGGGACACATGATATTGGAATACAAGAGTGTCATGAGCAACAATCAAAACTCAGTAATGAAGGTACCCATTATCTCAAGCATTTATCATTTCTCTGTGTTAGGAACAATCAACTACTATGGTAATCATTTTCAAATATACAGTAATTACTTCCTATAGCTGTCTTATTTTTCTCCCACAAAACAGATGTTATTTCTACTTTCAAACTGCATTTTGTACTCCTTAACCATACTGTCCTTATTTCCTTTTCTTTTCTTTTTTATTTTCTTTGAGATGGAGCTTCGCTCTTGTTACCCAGGCTGGAGTGCAATGGCGCGATCTCGGCTCACCACAACCTCCGCCTCCCGGGTTCAAGCAATTCTCTTGCCTCAGCCTCCCAAGTAGTTGGAACTACAGGCGCGCGCCACCACGCCCAGCTAATTTTTGTATTTTTAGTAGAGACGGGGTTTCACCATGTTGACCAGGATGGTCTCGATCTCTTGACCTCGTGATCCACCCGCCTCAGCCTTCCAAAGTGCTGGGATTATAGGTGTGAGCCACCGCGCCTGGCCCTTATTTCCTTTTCCTAATACATAAACCCATTACTGATAAATGTCATTCCACCCTCTGAATCCATAGATTGTTTGTAGCTACCACAAATGAGTGAGAATACACAATCTTTCCATGCCTGATTTATTTTACTCAATATTATGTCCAACTGTTTCATACATGTAGTTGCAAGTGACAGGATGTCATTCTTAAGTATGATTGAATATTCATTCTTCTGTGTATACACACCAAACTTTTTTTTTTTTTTAATCAATTCATCAATTGATGGACACACAGCATGACTCTATACACTACTGGTTGTAAATACTAACATAAACGTATCAGTGCAACTAAATCTTCAGTATATTTACATCTTTTCTTTCGGATATATATCCCACAGGAGAAATGCTGAATAGTATGGTACTTTACCAAGTAGTTGTTTTAGAAAACAGTGAACATTGGCCAGGCACAGTGGCTCATGCCGGTAATCCCAGAAGTTTGGAAGGCTGAGGTGGGCGGATCACCTGAGGTCAGGAATTTGAGACCAGCCTGGCCAATGTGGTGAAACCCTACCTCTACTAAAAATATAAAAATTAGCTGGATGTGGTGGCACGTACCTGTAATCCCAGCTAATTGGGGATGCAGAGGTTGCAGTGAGCCAAGATCAGACCGCTGCATTCCAGCCTGGGTGACTGAACGAGACTCTTGTCACCAAAGATTAAAAAAAAGACAGAGAGAAGAGGAGGAGAAAGGGGAGGGGAGGGGAGGAAAGGGGAGGGGAGGGAGGGGAGGGGAGGGGAGGGGAGGGGAGGGGAGGGGAGGGGAGGGGAGGGGAGGGGAGGGGAGAAACAACACAGAATATTGTTTTCCAAAAGGGCTGTAATATAATTTAAATTCTCCCAACAGTATTATCAAAGATCCCTTTTGGCTTCTTGCTTGACAGCATTATTTGTCCTTTTGATAATAGCTATGTTAACTGCAGTGAGAGGATCTTGCATTGTGGTTTTAATTTGCATTACACTGAAGATTGATAATGTTGAGCATTTTTTTTCAGTTACCTCTTGGTCATGTGTGTGTATTCTTTGGAGAAATGGCTACTCTATTTGCCCATTTACAAAATCATATTGCTTCTTTTCTTCTGATGATTTGACATTGCTGCCACATCTATATTTTCAAAATAGTTTCTGTCCTTCTAAAGGTTTAAAAATCACTCTTTTGATGGTTTCCTTTAGTGTGCAGCTTTTTTAGCTGGATGTAATCTCTTATCTGTTTATGCCTTTATTCCTTCTGCTCCTGAGATCTTACTCTAAATCTTTAATCAGACCAATGGCCACAAGAATATTCACAGTGTTTTCATTTAGTACTTTTATATTTTCAGGTCTTAGATGTATGCATATCATTTATTCAGGTTTTACTGTTGCAAATGATCACAGGGGTGTAGGTTCGTTCTTCTGCAAATGATTAACTAATTTTCCAAGCACTATTGATTGAATACACTGTCCCTTCCCCAGTCTACATTTATGGCACCTTTCTTGAGAATAAGTTGACAGTAAATGACTGAGTTTATTTCTGGGGTCTCTGCTCTGTTCCATTAATCATGTATCTCATTATGCCAATATCATGACATTCATTTTTTGATGGGAAGAGCATTCAATCTCTCTACCATTATAGTCAATATTTACACTTTAATAAAATTACACTTCAAATACATGAGCATGAAATACTTTCTCATTTCATTGTTTCCTATTCAATATCCTTCATCAATCCTTTATTGTTTTCCTTGTAGAGAACTTTCATCTCTTTCATTATTTTACTACTTCACATTTTTTATAGCTAGGAAATAAAATTGTTTCTTAATTTCTTTTGCAGATTATTTACTGTTGGCCTACGTAAATGCTATAGATCTTTCTAAGATTATTTAGTATTCTACATATACTTTAAATTCCTCATTGAATGTTCTTTATTTCATAATATTGTGTACTTACTCTGGCTAGAACGACTAGGCCGGCATGGAGTAAGTGTGCTTGTCTTGTTCCAGATATTAGTGGAAAATATTTCAGTTGTTCCTCATTCAGTATGATGTTAGCAAATTTACTGTTGTTTTTAATTTTAGGCATACTCTATGAAGTTCGTTTTAGTGAAAATGATGTATTTTTAATAGTTGTATGTATTATGTTATATATAATAGTTGCATATATGTACATATTTTGGGGACATATGATAGTTTGAAACAGATCAAACCAGGGTAATGGAAATGGCCATTACCTCAAAGATTATCATTTCTCTGTGGAACAATAACTTCCACTGTGTGGCTATATTGAAATGCCCAATAAGTAATTATCAACTATACTTGCCCTATTCTGCTCCACCAAGACAGATCTTATTCCTACTATCAACCTCTACTTTGTACCCTTTGACCACATTTTCTTTGTCCCTCCATCCTTACTACACTTCCAAGCCACTGATAACCATTACCCTACCCTCTATCTTCCATAAATCCAGGAAGGCATTTATTTTAGCAAACACAGGAGTGAGAACATATATTTGCTTTTCTGTCTGCCTTATTAAACTTAACATTATTTCAAACCACTTCCATCTATGTGGCTGCATATTACATGTCATTCTTATTTATGGCTGAAGTATACTGCATTGTATATATGACATTTTTTACATCCATTCATCCACTGATGGACACTCAGGGTGACTCCATATCCTAGTTACAGTGAATATTATTGCCAAAAATATGCCACTGCAGGTATGTCTTCAATAGGCTTATATTATTTCTTGTGGATGTATGCCCAACAAGAGAAAAGCTGGATAATATAGTTCAGATATTAGTTGTATTAGAAAACTCAATTATTACAGAAAGTCTGTACTAATTTACTTTCCCCTAACAGTGTATGAGAATTCCCTTTCACCTTCAATAGCACCAAAATCTGTAATTTTTCCTTCTCATGTTATCCTTTTTTCCTTTTCATATTATCCATTTATATTGTGGTTGTGATTTTCAGGTCTCCAATGATTAGTGATGTTGCACCTTTTTTAACATTCATAATGGTCATTTTCATGTCTTCACTTGAGAAAGGTTTCTGCAAACTGTTTTTTTCATTTCTAAATCCTATTGTGGTTTTGCATCCAAATTAAGTGGTTTGAGCTCCTTATGTTTTCTGGATATTATACCCTTCTTACAAGGGGTTTGTATTGACAGCTTATAAATATTTTATATCATTATGTATATAACCTTTTCACACTCATCAGTTTCCTTTGCTGTACAAAAGTATTTTAGTTTCGTATATCCCATTTATTTATTTTGCTATCACTGACCATTCATTTGAAGTCCTATTCATAAATGTTTTCCAGAGGAATACTTTGAAATATTTAGCCCTAACATTTTTCTATTAATGTCATATAAGCTGCTAATATATTTAGGTATTTCCTCCATTTTGATGTAATACATGCAAAGCATGTAATGTAGTAGTCTAGATTCACTCCTCTACAAATAAATATCCAGTTTTCCCAGGACTATGTACTGAAGACAGTCCTTTGCAAATACCATGTTCTTGACATCCTGTCAAAAATGAGTTAAATTCAAAAAAAGAAGATTTCAGGTCAATATCCCTGATGAACATAGATTTGAAAATCCTCAATAAAATACTGGCAAACCAAATCCAGTAGCACATCAAAAAGCTTATCCACCACAAACAAGTTGGCTTCATCCCTGGGATGCAAAGCTGGTTCAATGTACACAAACCAATAAACGTAACCCATCACATAAACAGAACCAATGACAAATATCACATGGTTATCTCAACAGATGAAGAAAAGGCCTTCAATAAAATTCAACACCCCTTCATGCTAAAACTCTCAATAAACTAGGTATTGATGGAACATATCCCAAAATAATAAGAGCTATTTAATACAAATCTACAACCAATGTCATAGTGAATGGGCAAAAGTTGGAAGCATTCCCTTTGAAAACCAGCACAAGACAAGGATGCCCTCTCTCACCTCTCCTATTTAACATAGTATTGGAGGTTCTGGCCAGGGCAATCAGGCAAGAGAAAAAAATCAAGGGTATTCAAATAGGAAGAGAGGAAGTCAAATTTCTCTGTTTGCAGATGACATGATTGTATATTTTAAAAATTCCATCACTCAGCCTAAAATCTCCTTAAGCTGATAAGCAACTTTACTAAATTCTCAGGATACAAAATCAGTGTGAGAAAATCACTAGCATTCCTATATACAGATAATAGAGAGCCAAATCATGAGTGAACTCCCATTCACAACTTCTACAAAGAGAATAAAATACCTAGAAATACAACTTAAAAGGGATATGAAGGACCTCTTCAAGGAGAGCTACAAACCACTGCTCAAGGAAATAACAGTGGACACAAGCAAATGGAAAAATATTCGATGCTCATGGAGAGAAAGAATCAATATCACAAAAATGGCCATCCTACCCAAGTAATTTATAAATTCAATGCTATCGCCATCAAACTACCATTGAGTTTCTTCACAGAATTAGAAAAAACTACTTTAAATTTCATATGGAACCAAAAAAGAGCCCGTCTAGCCAAGACAATCCTAAGCAAAAAGAATAAAGATGGAGAAATGATGCTACCTGACATGAAACTATACTACAAGGCTACAGTAAACAAAAGAGCATTGTACTGGCACTAAAACAGATATATAGACCAATGGAACAGAACAGAGGCATCAAAAATAACACCACACATCTCCAACCATCTGATCTTTGACAAACATGACAAAAACGAGCAACAAGGAAAGGATTCCCTATTTAATAAATGATGTTGAGAAAACTGGATAGCCATATGCAGAAAACTGAAACTGGACCCCTTCCTTGCACCTTATACAAAAATTAACTCAAGATGGATTAAAGACTTAATGTAAGACCTAAAACCATAAAAACCCTAGAAAAAAACCTAGGCAATACCATTCAGGACATAGACATGAGCATAGGTAAAGACTTCATGACTGAAACACAAAAAGCAATGGCAACAAAAGCCAAAATTGACAAATGGGCCCTAATGAAACTAAAGAGCTTATGCACAGCAAAAGAAACTATCATCAGAGTGAAGAGGCAACATATAGAATGGGAGAAAATTTTTGCAGTCTATCCATCTGACAAAGGTCTAATAGCCAGAATCTACAAAGAACTTAAACAAATTTACAAGAAAAAAACAAACAACTCCATCAAAAAATGGGTGAAGAATATGAAGACACTTCTCAAAAGAAGACATTTTTGCAGCCAACAAACATATCAAAGAAAGCTAATCATCACTGGTTATTACAGAAATGCAAATCAAAACCACAATGAGATACCATCTAATGCCAGTTAGAATGGTGATGATTAAAGTCAGGAAACAACAGATGCTGGAGAGGATGTGGAGAAATAGGAACGCTTTTACACTATTGGTGGGAGTGGAGATTAGTTCAACCATTGTGGAAGACAGTGTGGTAATTCCTCAAGGATCTAGAACGAGAAATATCATTTGACCCAGAAATCTCGTTATTGGGTATATGCCCAAAGGATTATAAATCATTCTACTATAAAGACACATGCACATGTATATTTATTGCAGCACTGTTCACAATAGCAAAGACTTGGAACCCACCCAAATGCTCATCAATGATAGACAGGATAAAGAAAACATGGCACATATACACCATGAAATACTATGCAGCCATAAAAAGAGATGAGTTCATGTCCTTTTCAGGGACATGGATGAAACTGGAAACCATCATTCTCAGTAAACTAACACAAGAACAGAAAACCAAATGCCGCATATTTTCACTCATAAGTGGGAGTTAAACAATGAGAAAACATGGACACAGGAAGAGGAACATCACACACCGGGACCTGTCTGGGGGTGGGGGTCTAGGGGAGGGATAGCATTAGGAGAAATACCTCATGTAGCTGCCGGGTTGATGGGTGCAGCAAACCATTTCTTTTCTTTAAGCTCTCATTTCAGGTTCAGGGTACACATCCCGGATTGCTATATAGATAAATTGTATGTCATGGGGTTTGGTGTAGAGATTATTTCATCACCCAGATAAAAAGCATAATACCCAATAGGTTCTTTTTCGAATCTAATCCATCCTTTCACTCTCCACCCTCAAGTTAACCCCAGTATCTGTTGTTTCCCTTTGTGCCCATACATTCTCATTTATTTAAGAGAATATGCATTATTTGGTTTTCTATTCCTGGGTTAGTTTGTTTAGGATCATGGCCAACAGCAACATCCAAGGACATGATCTCATTCTTTTTTATGATGTTGTAGTGTACCATGCTGTATATGTATGTTTTCTTCATACAGTCAACCATTAGTGGCTATTAAGCTTCACTTCATATCTTCACTATTATCAAGAGTTCCCCAATGGACATGCACATTCATGTGTCTTTATGGTACTAAAATCTATACTTCTTTTGGTATAAAACCAGTAATGGGAATCTGGCATCAAACGATACTCTGGTTTGATATTTTCTGCAAAATCACCAAGCTGCTATCCACAATGGATGACATAATTTATAATTCAACAAGCAATCTTTAAGCATTCCCTTTTATCTGTAAACTCGACAACATACTATTTTTGACTTCTTAGTAATAGTCCTTCTGGGTGGTGTAAGACAGAAATGCAGTGTGGTTTTAATTATCATTTCCCTATGGATTAGTGATGTTGAGCATTTTGACATATGAATCCTGGATGCATGTATGTCTTCCTTTGAAAAAATGTCAATGTACTTTTTCATCTTTTCAATATGGTTATTTTTCCCTGTTAAGTAGCTTATAGATTCTGGATATTAGAACTTTCTCAGATGCATATTTTCAGATATTTTTCCCATTCTGTACATTTTGTGTTCACCATTGATAGATTCTCTTGCTGTGCAGAATCTCTGTAGTTTAATTAGGTTCAATTTGCCAATTTTTGTTTCTGCTGCCATTACATTTGGAATCTTCATCATAAAAATTTTCAAAACCTATGTTCAGCATGGTATTTCCTAAATTATAGCTTAGCATTTTTATGGTATTATATTTTAGATTTAAGCCCTTACTCTATAGAGTTATTATATGTAATGAAAAGAAGGGGTCCAGTGCCAACATTGAATATATATAGCTAGTCAGTTATACCAGCAGCATTTATTGAACAGGAAGTCCTGTCTGCATTGCTTATTTTGTCAACTTTGTTAAGAAGCAGATGACTGTTAGTGTACAGCTTTATGTTCTATATTCTGCTCCACAGGCCTCCATGTCTATTTTCGTACAAGTATCATGCTGTTATGCTTACTGTAATCTTGTAGAATACTTTCAATTCAGGTAATGTTATACATCTAGGTTTGTCTAGAAATTGCCTTGGCTATTTGGGCTTTCCATTCCATAAGATTTTTTTTTTTTTTTTTTTTTTGAGACGGAGTTTCACTCGTTACCCAGGCTGGAGTGCAATGGCGCGATCTCAGCTCACCGCAACCTCTGCCTCCTGGGTTCAGGCAATTCTCCTGCCTCAGCCTCCTGAGTAGCTGGGATTACAGGCATGCGCCACCATGCCCAGCTAATTTTTTGTATTTTTAGTAGAGACAGGGTTTCACCATGTTGACAGGATGGTCTCGGTCTCTTGACCTCGTGATCCACCTGCCTTGGCCTCCCAAAGTGCTGGGATTACAGGCTTAAGCCACTGCACCCGGCAAGAATTTTTAAAGGTTTTGTTAATTCTGCAAAGAATGTCATTGGTAGTTTGAATCGCAATTAATGTATAGATTGCTTTGGGGATTACAACAATTTTAACAATGTCATTTCTTCCTACTTGTGTCAGCTATGATTTCCTTCAGTAGTGTTTTATAATTCTTATTATACTGATATTTCACCTTCCTGGTTAAATGGATTCCTGGGTAATTTATGCTTTTTTGTGGCTATTGTGAATGGGTTTGCATTCTTTATTCAACTCTGACCTTCGATGTTGGGGCTGTTTAGAAATGCTAAGTTTCAGACTGATTTTTATACTGAAACTTTTGGATCTTTTGTATCTAATCTAGGAGCTTGGGGCTTTGAGGTTTTCTATGTATAAATCATGTTGTCTGCAGAGATTCTTTTATTTCTCTTCCTATTTGGATGCCTTTTCTTTCTATTCACTGCTCTGGGTAGAATTTCCAGTAGTATGTTGAATAGGTGTGGTAAAAGTGGGCATCCTTGTCTTGCTCTGATCATAAAAAGAATGCTTCCAACTTCTGCCAGTTGATTATGAGATTGGCTTTGAGTTTGTAAAAGATGGGTCATTATTTTGAGATGTTTCTTTAATGCCAAGTTTGTTGAGGGCTTATAAAATGAAGTAACGTTAAGTAAATTGTATTAAACTTTTCTGCGTCTATAGAGATTATCATGTGGTTTTGGTTTTAGCTCTGCTTATGTAATAAATCACTTTTTTTCCCGTTTTGTATGTTGAACTAACCTTGCATCACAGAAATATAGCCTCCTTAATCACAGGGGATTTGCTTTCTGATATGCAACTGGATTAGGTTTGCTGGTATTTTCTTGAGAATTTTTCCCTTTAAGTTCATCAGGGATATTGGCCTGAAGTTTTCTGTTGGTGTTGTGTCTTTGCCAAGTTTTGGTATCAGGTAATGCTGGCTTCATAAAATAGTTAAGGGAGGAGTCCTTCCTCCTTGATATTTTGGAATAGCTTGAGTAGGAATTTCACTAGCTTTTCTTTACATACCTGGTTGTATTCAGCCATAAATCCTTTGGGTCCAGGGCTTTATCTTGTTGATAAGTTTTTATTACTGAATCAGTTTAAAAATTGGTTATCTTAGTTATTTCTTACCTGCTGCTAGCTTTGGAATTAGTTTACTTGTTTTTTAGTTCCTCTGCTTGTGATGTGAGCATGTTAAATTTAAATAATGAACTTGTTAATTTCTGCCTTTTCATTATTTATACCAATATAATTAAGGATAAAGTTGTTTAATTTCCATGTAATTGTATAATTTTAGGTAATCTTTGTGTGTGTGTGTGTTGATTTCTGTTTTTATTGTGTTCTGGTCCAAAGATCTGTTTAGTATGATTTTGCTATTTGAATTAATAGGACTGTTTTATGAGCCACTGTGTGGTAGACTGTAGAGTATGTGCTATGTGCAGATGAGAATGTGCACTCTGTGGTTTTGGGTGGAGATTAATATGGATGTCTGATAGGTCCATTTGGTCAAGTGTCAAGTACAGAATCAAAATAAGTTAGATTTCCGCCCCAGTGACCTGATTAATAGTATCAATGGGTGGTCAAGTTTCCCACTCGTCTGCTTATCTATGTTTCTTCAAAAGTCTGTAGGAACTTTTTACAAATGCGCATAATCCTGTGTTCAGTGCATATATATTTTGGTTAGGTGTTCTTGTTGAGCTGAAGCCTTTATGATTATAAAATACCTTTGTCATTATTGATAATTGCTGTTTTAAAGTCTGTTTTCTATGAAATTAGAATAGCAATGTGTCTCTCTTCCTTTTTTGTTTGCTTGGTAGAATTTTATCCATCTCTTTACCTTGAACAAATGGGTGCCATTACTTCTGAAATTGGTTTCAGCAACAGTATATACAGTTGGGTCTTCTTTATACAACTTGCCTCTCTTCATCAATTAGGACAGTAACCTATTTAAGTTCAAACTTAACACTGATATGTGCATATTTGATTCTGTATTACTATTAGCTGGTTGCTGATTATTCTGCAGAGTTAATTGTGCATTTGGTTTATAGTGTCAGTGGTCTGTGTACTTAAATGGGTTTTTTGGTGGCCAGTAATTGTCATTCCTTTCCATATTGAGCACTCACTTAAAGATGTCTGGTAAGGCAGGTCTGGTGTTAATGAAATGCCTTGGCACTTGCTTGCCTATAAAAGATCTTATTTCCCTTTCACCTATAAAGCTTAATTTGGCTGAATATGAAGTTACTGGTTGGAATTACTTATTAAAAACACTGAATATAGGTATCCATATCTTCTGGCATACAGGGAACCTACTGAAAGGTATGCTGTTAGCCTGATGGGCTTCCCTTTGTAGTCTACCCAGCCCTTCTCTGTAGTTGATTTGGACATTTTCTTTCATTTCAATCTGATAGCTGTCTGGGAGACAGTATTTTACAGGGTTGTCAGAATTTCCTGAATTTAAATTTTGGTATGTCTAGCAAGGTTGCAGAAAAATTCACAGACAAACTAAAAAGTTGCTTGCTTTCTCTGCCTTTTTTGAGAATGTCAGTGACTCATAGGTTTGAATGCTGTGTTGCACAGAGATTTTGTTCAGTTTTTAAATTCTTTTTAAAATATTTGACAACTAATTCAACTAAACAGTCCTGGTGCTCTGAGACTCTCCTCAGCTTCATCTACTCTGTCAATACTCCCAATTATATTACATAATTATGTAGTGTGCTTTTCAGCTCTACAAGATCAATTTGCCTCTTTGTTGAAATGGGCATTTCAGTTTCTAACATCTGTATTGTTTTATTATTTTCCTTAGATTCTTTAGATTCAGTTTCAACGTTCTTCTGAATCTCAATGATCTTCATTCATACCCATATTCTTAACCCTGTCATTTAATCCATCTCAGCCTGGTTAAGAACATCTGCCAGAGAGCTAGTGTGACCCTGTGGAAGCCAGAGTTTGGAACTCTGGATTTTACAACTGCCAGAGTTCTGGAAGTACTTTCTTCTCACATATGTGGGCTAAGATTCTTTCAATATTTGAAGATGCTGTGCTTTGTATGACATTTTTCTTTCATCTTCAATGCCCTTGGGGTTTGAGGGGCGAAGTGGGTTCAGCTGAATGGCTTCATTTCTGGAAGATCTTAGGGGAACAAGGCTGACCTCAGGATTACTGGGCTGCATGTTCTAACTCTGGGGAAGCAGGGTCAAGAAACTAGTCTGTTCTCTGGTCACTCAAGGTTAGAAATTTACTGAACTGGAGGGGCTGATGTATTCCTGTTATAATGCCCACAGTATTCAAATAGAAGTGTGGCAGCCATAGTACATCATTGGGTTGGTGGCAGTGGAATCCATGCTCACTTGCTTATGCAAACAGTCTCAACAGCATGGAAGTGTGCACATGTGTCTGATGGGGAGGGGCACTGAAAGAGGAGGGTTTAGCATTGTTCATGTTAGAACTCATGCCAGTGGTTGCAACAGATACAAGACCCTGGAGGAGACTACTTGGTTGCCACCCATGTGCACATTTGCACTTGGGGAAGAATGGCAAGGTTGGAGTTGCTGGTGTTCATTTGCATCAGTAACAACACACAAAGGGTAAGGTTACCATTGTTCATGCCCACCAGTGATGGCCCTGTAGGGGTGGGATTACTAACACCTATAAATAGATTTGTGCTCTCTGATAAGCCAAGTTTAGTTTCAATATACAGATTTCTGGTTTGTAGATGTTACATTGCTGTGTATGTATATGTATGCATGTCACATTCAGATTTGGTTAGCGTTATATTGTCATATAACTTTAAGTCAGGTAATGTGATAATTCCAGCTTTGTTCTTTTGGCTCAGGATCACTGTGTCTATTCTTTGTCTTGTTCCTATTTCTGTGAAAAAATCACACTGTCATTTTCAAACTATAAATTGCTATACATAGTATGGGCTTTTAACAATACATCTTCTCCTACTAAATGAACATGCAGTATCTTTTGATTTACTAGTGTCCTCGTCGTTTTCTATCAGTGACTCATAGTTTTCCTTGTAAATACACTTTACTTTATTGGTTAAGTTTCTTCCTATATACTTATTTGTATTTATTGGGTTATTTATAATTCTCCCTTTCTAATATGAGTAACTATTTCTTCCTCTTCTTTCTTACACTATTAAAGTATTCTATATTTGTGTACCTTTTTCTATGAGTTGTAAACATTCAGACGTTTTCCTTTTGCTTATTAATGTCCTTATCATTCAGACTGAATTACACTTTTTAGCATTTCATGTAAGACAGGTCTGATGTTGACAAAAACTCCTCACCTGTTGTGTGACTAGTAAAGCATTTTTTTCAAGTTTGAAGAATATTTTGCTGGATTTGATATTCTAATTTGGCAGGTTATTTCCTTCAACAATAAATATGTCATCAGAGCCCGGAGTATTGAGCCGCTGTGCTGAGTGGCGCCGTGGTCTACGCGCTTCTTGGACACCATGTCTCACCTGCCAATGAAACTCCTGCGCAGGAAGATCGAGAAGTGGAACCTCAAATTGCGGCAGCAGAACCTAAAGTTGCAGCAGTGGAACCTAAAGTTGCAGGGGGCCTCAAATCTGACCCTATCAGAAACTGAAAATGGAGATGTGTCTGAAGAAACAATGGGAGGTAGAAAGGTTAAAAAAATCAAAACATTCTATGAATGTGGGCTTCTCAGAAGCTCAAAATGGAGATGTGTCTCAAGAAGCAGTGGAAAATATAAAAGTTTAAAAATCTCCCCAGAAATCCATCGTCTTAACCAATGGAGAAGGAGCAATGCAGTCTCCCAATTCAGAATCGAAGAAGAAAAAGAGAAAAGTGGTGAATGATGCTGGGCCTGACACAAAAAAAGCAAAAACTGGAAACCAAGGGGAATCTGAAGAATAAAGTGCCAAGACTCGTAAAGAAACAGAAAATAATGTGGAGAAGCCAGATAATGATGAAGATGACAGTGAGGGGCCCAGTCTGCCCCTGGGACTGACAAGAGCTTTTGAGGATACTTCATTTGCTTCTCTATGTAATCTTGTCAATGAAAACACTCTGAAGGCAAGAAAAGAAATGGGTTTTATAAACATGACTGAAATTCAGCATAAAAGTATCAGACCACTTCTGGAAGGCAGGAATCTTCTAGCAGCTGCAAAAACAGGCAGTGGTAAAACCCTGGCTTTTCTCATCCCTGCAGTTGAACTCATTGTTAAGTTAAAGTTCATGCCCAGGAGTGAAACGGGAGTCCTTATTCTCTCACCTACTAGAAAACTAGCCATGCAAACTTTTGGTGTTCTTAAGGAGCTAATGACTCACCACGTGCATACCTATGGGTTGATAATGGGTGGCAGTAACAGATCTGCGGAAGCACAGAAACTTGCTAATGGAATCAACATCATTGTGGCCACACCAGGCTGTCTGCTGGATCATATGCAGAATACCCCAGGGTTTATGTATAAGAACCTGCAGTGTCTGGTTATTGATGAAGCTGATCGTATCTTGGATGTTGGGTTTGAAGGGGAATTAAAGCAAATTATTAAACTTTTGCCAACACGTAGACAGACTACGCTCTTTTCAGCCACCCAAATTCAAAAAGTTGAAGACCTGGCAAGGATTTCTCTGAAAAAGAAGCCATTGTATGTTGGTGTTGATGATGATAAAGCTAATGCAACAGTGGATGGTCTTGAACAGGGATATGTTGTTGGTCCTACTGAAAAGAGATTCCCTCTGCTTTTTACATTCCTTAAGAAGAACCGAAAGAAGAAATTTGTGGTCTTCTTTTCATCTTCTATGTCCGTGAAATACCACTATGAGTTGCTGAATTACATTGATTTGCCCATCTTGGCCATTCATGGAAAGCAAAAGCAAAACAAGCGTACAACCACATTCTTCCAGTTCTGCAATGCAGATTCAGGAACACTATTCTGTACAGATGTGGCAGCAAGAGGACTGGACATTCCTGAAGCAGACTGGATTGTTCAGTATGACCCCCCTGATGACCCTAAGGAATATATTCATCGTGTGGGTAGAACAGCCAGAGGCCTAAATGGGAGAGGGCCTGCCTTGCTCATTTTGCGTCCAGAAGAATTGGGTTTTCTTCACTATTTGAAACAATCCAAGGTTCCATTAAGTGAATTTGAGTTTTCCTGGTCTAAAATTTCTGACATTCAGTCCCAGCTTGAGAAATTGATTGAAAAGAACTACTTTCTTCGTAAGTCAGCCCAGGAAGCATATAAGTTGTACATATGCGCCTATGATTCCCATTCTCTGAAGCAGATCTTTAATGTTAATAACTTAAATTTGCCTCAGGTTGCTCTGTCATTTGGTTTCAAGGTGCCTCCCTTTGTTGATTTGAACATCAACAGCAATGAAGGCAAGCAGAAAAAGCGAGGAGGCGGTGGCGGATTTGGCTACCAGAAAACCAAAAAAGTTGAAAAGTCCAAAATCTTTAAACATATTAGCAAGAAATCGCCCGACAGCAGGCAGTTCTCTCACTGAGGACATGCCTTTCTTTCATCTTGAATAACTTTGTCCTAAAGTGAATTTTTTTACCCCTTGATTTAACAGAATTTTTGTAGCCTTTAGAATTTGGACTTCGTAACAAGAGTATAAATTGACTTGGGTTGCAAGCACTGAGCACTGTTACTTCTATCAAGTCTCTCTTTTATTTTGAGATACAAAACAGGCTTTGTTTTCTTGGTTGCCCAAGGGCAGAGCAAAGAATATATGGTCTTTCTTATGATTATATAATATTTTAATTTTAAATATCCCTCCCTCAGACAAATGTATGTTACTGTTTTAATATAATTCTTTTTGTACCTCTCCTTCTTGTTTGGTGAAGATTTCTGTGGCATGGATTGCTGTTCTTACTGCTGTAAAGGTGACCTAGTATACTGGGCAGCTGGTGGTAATGCAGAGAAAGAGTCTCAGGTTATTTTTTGTTTTTAGTTATTTCTTGGACCTTGACAATATCTCATGACTCCTCCTGAAAATGCTGCAGCATAAAAGAGCAAAGAGCTCAGAAGCACTTTAGGATTAGGGTGCCATTGCTTTTATAGATTCTTGATTTCAAAGCAATGAGTTTTTCTCGGGTGTTTCGGTTTTTTTGGAGCGAAAGCTATGGGTTGTAATTTCAATAAAGTGTCAGTAGCAGTCATAACATTCGATGGGAAGGGGGTAGGAAGAGGGTGAAATTGAGATGCTTAAGCCTTATTTACATCAATAGAGGTGTAATATACTGCATTTCTTCATTTGGTAACAGCAAAGACTAAAAATGCACAAAGAATGGTGATGCTCCTCAATCAGATTTGTTTAATTCAAGGTGGTTTGGATTTTGGTAAGCCTTTTTACTCTTTAGAGTACTTAGAAGACAGGGGCAACTTCCTTGGACTTAGAGCCAAGCTATCAAACAGTGCCCAGCACAGGTTAATGTAAGCTTCTTTCTGAGAAAAATTACCTCTTCCAGGCCGTGAAACAAAAAATACATTTTCTATGAAGATTGACAAAAAACAAAGTTAGAAAAAAAAAAAAAACCAAAGTCAGTGATTTAGTCAGATGGGTTTTTTGTTATAGGAGCATTTGATTTCTAGTGTTTTGTATAGTGTATAACTACAAAACAGTACATTATGTAGCAATTCAAAACCAAAGTTGCTAGCATCATTTGGCTGTTGTACCAGTTAATCATAGGATCCCATTAAATGTAAGAAGTGCTAACATCTAATGTAGAGGAAACTGTTTGTTAAAGAACATTCCAGTAGGAAAAGAAAAGAACAATCTTCTATTTCTGGGCTTGGCTGTCATCAGCCTGGTCAGACCTGTCCTAGGCTTCCAACCTTGACTGCTGGGCTCCTGGACTGGCTTCTTGGATTCCTATTTCCTATTTCCTAACTCCCTCCAGGATCATGTTTTCCTTCCCCCCCCACCAGAAATAATGTTTTTTAAAAGACAAAAACAAAGGGAAGAATATTTAATTACTGAGCAGAAATAAATACTACTGATATTTTGTACATAATCTAATTTTTATATGCATGTTTGTGCTTTTTAATTTTTTTTATCAAAAATGAAGTCATCTACATACTGCTTGTAACCAGCTTGTTTCATAACATGGTATTTTCCTGTGTCATTAAATAATTACCTCATATTGAAAAAAAATATATATGTCATCATACTCCTAGACTGTAAACTCTTCACTACCAGATGTATCAGAGCTCCTTTATAATTTTTTTTGTTTTGTTGCAGTTTTTAGGACCGTTTAAATTTTCCTCGACCTCTGGACATTTGATTGTTACATTCCTTGACATACTCTTATTTTAGTTGAATCTGCTTGTTTCTGTTTTACTTGTACTGTCTTGTACCTGGGTAATCACATCTAGATATACACATATATATGTCAGCTCACTGTAACTTCTACCTCACAAGTTCAAGTGATTCTAGTGCCTCAGTCTCCCAAGTAGCTGGGACTACAGGTATAAGCTACCATGCCCAGCTAATTTTTATACTTTTAGTAAGAGATGGGGATTTCACTATGTTGGCCAGACTGGTCTCGAACTCCCAACTTCAGGTGATCTACCCACCGCAGTCTCCCAAAGTGCTGGGATTACAGGTGTGAGCCACCATGCCCAGCCTTTTTCTCTAAACTTTCACCTCCAAACTCTCTCTAAGAATGGTAAGCCTGACATTTCAAGATTATTTTCTTCACCTTGTAGGCATGCTTCATTCTTTTTGCTTTTTTCTCACTGTGTATTTTCATATAGCCTGTCTTTAACAATACTGATTCTTCTTTTGCTTGATCATTTCTGCTATTGAGACCTTATGGTGCATTTCTCCATTCAGTCACGGTTTCTCAGTTCCACTATTTAAGTTTGTTTCATCTATTATTTCAGTATTTGTTAAATTTCTTTAATAAACTCCTAAATTGCTTTCCTGCAATATCATGGTGTTTGGTATTATCCCAAAATGTTTCTCTTGAATTATTAACCTGACATCACCATCTTATTAGGGTCAGTCAGTGGCTACTTGTTCTGTATATCTGAGAAGGTCATGGTTCATAGTAATTTTGAATTTCCTGTATGAGAGGCAACTTAGCTACATCCCTCCAAAACTAGATCCAATAGTCCTTAAAGACGTCACGTCTCCTGGATGGGTGTTGTGCTTGAGGAAGTTCTTCAGTGGTCCAGGCATTTAAGAGTTAGGTATTTATAGAATCTTGCCTGTGGTTCCATAAAACAGTAAGTGGTAATTTTCTCTTTTAAAGTGGCTTGAATCCTACAGGTAAAGCACAAGCAGGCAGGGTAATCAGAAGCCACTCTGTTATTCTGGAAGCTGCAGAGAAAGGGAACCCAGAAACCTGGTATGCCAGTAAAAAGGGACACAATAGGAGAAATTGGTTAATTCATCAAGGCTTTGCCTGAAATGGCATGCTTCCCTTAAGGAATCAAAGTTGATTTGTACAGCCAATTAAGCCTGTTGGGGAATCTGGCTTCATACCTTGTCCCCACAGAGCCCCCGTACAAGGTTCCTAACCTGTGACCCTGCACTTGATGGATCAGCTGCCACCACCCAGATCAATAAACTGACTCATCCGATCTTGTGGCCCCCCGCATCCAGGAACTGACTGGACACAAGAAGACAGCTCTCCCTATGATTTCATCTCTGATCAATCAGCACTCATGGCTCACTGACTTCCACCGACACATCAAGCTACCCTTAAAAAATCTGCTTCCCAAATGCTTGGAGAGACTGATTTCAATAATAATAAAACTCTGGAGACACACACAGACACACACACACGCACATACACACACACACGAGTTAGGTATTTATTCCAGTCTTTGCAGTCTATACTACTTTGCAGCTGCTCTTCACAGGGCGTTTAAAAAATTAAATGTGATTGTGTTGTTTCATCTAATAATGTAATCATTGCAGTCATTTCATCACTAGAGGGCGACCTAGGACCAGGAACACAGGCACACTTGAAGACTCCCACATACACAGCACTGGTGGACGTGAGAAATACAAGGATACAACTTCCTGGATTACTAGGCTTATACCCTCACTGTCTCATATTTTGTTCCCCCAATTGGAATAAGCCTCTGTGCACTCAGTTGCCAAGACTTGAGGAAGGGTTACTAAAATTCCTTATTACTGTATTGCAGTTTCTCTCATATTAGGTTGCTTGCACTTTGCTTTATATATTTTGATGTTCTGCTGCAGGGTGCATACATATTTACGATTTTTATAACGTCTTCCTGAATTGATCCTTCACAAGTATTATGTAGTAATATTTTTGTCTTTTTCACTTAATAGGTATTAAGTGAAAACTTTGGTATCTAAGTACAGCTCCTGTAGCTATTTATTGGTTTCCATTTCTATCAAACACCTTTTTGCATCTCTTCACTTTTAGTCAATGTGTATCTATATAAGTTAATTTTTTTACATGCAGCATATAGTTGGGTCTTGATTTTTTAAAATATCCATTGAGCCACTCTCTTTTATTTCTTTTGAGGGTGGGGTCCTAGAACAATATTACTGATAGGTAAGAAATCACTATTGACGTTTTGTTTGGTACTTTTTTGTCGTTTTATCAATTATTTTTCCTTCCTTCTCCCACGTGGCTAAGTGATTTTCTTTGGTAGTATCTCATAAAAAGTATTTTGAAACAGATGATAATTTTCAGCATAAGAAATATAAACAGCCAATCAATTTTATACTTTAACTCAACCCCCCCACATTTTAACTTTCTCATGTCTATTTTTATATTGGCTATATTTTATGATGCTGCTATACTTTTCATAAACTTGCACCTTACTCTTATGAATATGAGAAGCTTACATATTCTTATAAGTATTAATTTCTTCTGAATTTGCCTATGTATTTGCATTGGCCACTGAGTTTTGTAACATCAAACTTTTTCTCTTTGGACATTAGCATAACTTTTTCATCATAAAGAAGTTTTCATTTCTTCAATGATGAGTCTAATGAATTCTCACCATGTTTTCTTCCTTTCTGTAAACGATGTTATCTCTTAATATTCCAAGGAAATCTTGTGTGGATACAGTATTGTTGGTTAATTTTTTTCCTTTAGTATTTTATGTCATTTTACCCTCCCCCCTTGCCCCGATAGATATACAATTTCTGATCAGAAGTCTGTTAACAACAAATTGAAAGTACATGTTACTTGCTTTTCTCTTGCTGTTTTCAATGTCCTTTTTCTTTGTAGTATGTTTTTGAGATTACATATAAGCCTTGGGGTATTCTTATTTAAACTGAATCTATTTGGTCTTCAACATTGTTGTACCTGAATATTTGTACCTTTCACTGCATTTGGAATATATTCTGTTATTTCATTGAATAAGCTTTCCTGCCCTTGCTATAACAAAACTACTACTTGAACACCAATGATGACTTAATTTGCCGTTTGGACGTTATTCTCTATATCCTGTAGATATTCTCTAGACCTTTTCATTCCATTTCTTTAATCTCTACAGATTCCCCAATACCCTATATTTAAGATCACTATTTTTCTATTCTTGATCCATTCTGCTAGACAGCCTCTAATAAATTTTTCAATTCAAACAATTACTTCTCATTTGCAATACTTATTTGGTATATTTTATTATTTCAATCACTTCATCAAGTTTCTAATAAATTCTTGGATTTTTTTTTCATTATACTGGGTTCTACTACATTTCCTTAAAATTGCATTTATAAATTCTTGATTTTTGAGCTCAAACATTACCATATCATTATGGTTGGCAACTGGTTCCATGCTTTCTCTGTTCATGGTGGTCACGGTTCATGGCTTGCGGCTGTTTCTTGTAGACATATGCCTATAGTTTCACACTGAATCATTATGTACTTATTCCAGTCTCAGTGGTCTAGCTTCCTTTGGTCCTCCTAGAGTATGTTTTCTTAGATATTACTTGCAGTTTTTGAGACTACTTAATCTGTTAGTGCTGCCTATTTTAGATTTGACTCAGCTCTCACAAACATTTTGAGCATTGCCCATACCACATAGGGGTACCAAAATCAATCCTTTGGCTGTACAGGAAGGTTGGATAGGCATTTGTGCAAAGAAATATGAACTCTACCTATTGCATTATAGTACTGCTGAACAGCCACTCTGACTTAAAATCTATGTTGTCTGATGTAAAGTCAATTATTTTTCAGGCTAGAGTTGTGAATCTCAACTGGCCCAACTGTCTTTCACTGCCATCATGGGATTTTCTCCCTACAAGCGCACACAATACTTCCTGTTTGTTAAGCTATTAACAGTTTTTCAACAAGAGAAGCCAAGATGGTGAAGAAGCTGTCTGCGAAAATCTCACATTTATCCCATGTTGAATTGATGAATGTGGAGAAATTTTTCCACACATGATGGCAGGCAGATAAGACTGTCAAAAATACAGAACAAACCCTTTATCTGGTCCACGTTTTTCACTTCTCTGTAGTCTCAGGAAATGTCTCAGCTTCAGATTTCAGTTCTGGAAAATTACTTGTGATAATATGGGTGCTGAATATATTACTGATGTTCTATGAGGGTAAGTAAAACCAGAGTATTTTACTTTGAGATTTTGGTGAAGCACTCTATTCCTGATTTCACAAATATGCCGAAATTAATTGTTGTAGTTATTAATAGTTTATAGATGGACATGATGGCAGGTGCCAATAATACCATCAAATCAGAAGGCTGAAGAGGGAAAAGTGCTTGAACCCAAAAGTTTTACACCAGCCTGGGCAACATAGCAACAGCCACCTAATTGAAAAAGTTTTGTGTATTAACCTAAACAATGAAGATATACATTATTTGTATGCCACCATTAAAGTACATCAGTATTGTGAATTTGAGTTTTACTTACCTTTTACCAGTGAGTTTTATACATTCCTGATTTTGTATTATGCATGAGCTTTTTCTTTCAACTTGAAGAATTCCCTCTAACATTTCGTTTTAATGAATAACAAGAAAAGAGAGGTGAAGTCTTCAATAATATTTGTGGACCCATTTCTATTTTCAGCTTATTTTCTAGATATATTAAAATTGCTTAGTTCCATCCAAATATTGGAATTTAGGAATTATCCCAGATAATTTTCCCTGTCATTTATGTTTCTGTTTCATCCATCCATTGGTAAGTGTTCACATTACTTATCATTTTTCTTATTCTTCCGTATAAGCTGTTACTCTCCTGTATTAAAACCATTTTTCTAGGTGCTTACATATTATGTTAAAATAAAGACTCACAAAATGCTGCAAATACAGTACTGTTTACACATACCACTTACCTAAATTCCCCAATGGTGACATTTTTCCATTAATATAGTACAATATCACAAGCAGCACCTTGACATTGGTAAAATGTGCATATTTACATATTTTATCACATATACATATTTTTTTAACCACTGCATGACTCAGAATACAGAACTCATCAGTCATTAAAAATGGATCACATCCACTAGTCTTATAATCCACATACAATCTCAACTTCCACCATCCCTAACAGATGAAAACAATATTCTGTAACTATTAATTTTATCATGTAAAGATACCTGAAAATAAGCATTATGTTAGAACTAGAAATTTGTTTTTCCTTCGGAATTGAGAATCATCTAAGGCTTATTGTACAGTAATAGTTTATTCCTTTTAATTTTTCAGTTGCACTATATAATATGGAAGTAACAGACGTATTTAACTGTTTACCTGGTGAATAGTTGTTTCCAGGTTCTATTACAAATGAAATTTCTGTGACCACTCAAATACAGGTTTGCACAAAACATAAATTTTGATTTCTATAAAATTGCCCAGGACAGTAATTGCTCAGCCTAACTACATGTTTGTTTAGCTTTAAAAGAAATTGCCAAATAATTTTCCAATGTGGTATACAGTTTTATATTCCCATCAGCAATAAAGATTTAATTTTTTTCTACATTATTCCCAGCCTTTGAAATCATTATGTTTTAACTATTTCACCTATCAAAATAAATCTGCTATAGGCCTGGTAAGGTGGCTCACCCGTGTAATCCCAGAAATTTGGGAGGCCAAGGAGGGTGGATCACCTGAGGTCAGGAGTTCGGGACAAGCTAAGCCAACATGGTGAAACCCCGTCTCTACTAAAAATAACAATAATTTACTGGGTGGGGTGGCAGTCAGCTGTAATCCTAGCTACTTGGGAGGCTGAGGCAGGAGAATCGCTTGAACCAGGGAAGCTGAGGTTGTAGTGAGCCAAGATTGCACCACTGCCCTCCACCCTGGGTGACAGAGTGATTCCATCTCAAAACAAAACGAAACAAAAAAAACTCTGCTGTAATGTCCCATCATAGAATTAATTTCCATCATGTTCTTACTGAAGTTTCTGTATCTTCCATAAAACGATCTTTTACATTTGCTCATTTTCCAATTTAAAGATTTGGATTTTTAATATTGTCTATGGAGAATTATGTAAATATTCTAGCGATAACTCCAGTGTTGAATATGAGATTTGCAAACGTTTTCCATGTAGTTTGTATTTTCATACTATTTATGGTTACTATGCAAAGCAAAAGAAATAAGCTTTGATGTCCTTCCCTTTTTCAATTGATTTTTATTAATAAACTGTCCTTTTCATACTTGTCTTTTTCTTTCTATTTGCCTGAATACTGCTGATAATTGTTTTTAAGTATATATTTTAATTATACTTTAAGTTCTGGGGTATACGTGCAGATCTTGCAGGATTGTTACATAGGTATACACATATCATGGTGGTTTGCTGCTTCCATACCACAATCACCTACATTAGGTATTTCTCCCAATGTTTTCCCCCCAAATCTCCCCACACCTGCTATCTCTCCCCTAGCCCCCCATCCCCCAACAGACCCTAGTGTGTGCTGTTCCCCTCCCAGTGTCCATGCATTCTCATTGTTCAAAACCCACTTATGAGTGAGAACATTCAGTGTTTGGTTTTCTGTTCTTGTATTACTTTGCTGAGAATGATGGTTTTCAGATTCATCCACGTCCCTGCAAAGGACACAAACTAATCATTTTTTATGGCTGCATAGTATTCCATGGTGTATATGTGCTGCATTTTCTTTATCCAGTCAATATTGATGGACATTTGGGTCAGTTCCAGGTCTTTGCTATTGTAAACAGTGCCACAACAAACATACGTGTGCATGTGTCTTTATAATAGAATGATTTATAATCGTTTGAGTATAAAACCATTTACAGGATTGTTGGGTCAAATGGTATTATTTCTAGATACATGAGAAATTGCCATACTGCCTTCCAAAATAGTTGGACTAATTTACACTCGCACCAAAAGTGTAAAAGCGTTCCTATTTCTCCACATCCTCTCCAGCTCCGCTGTCTCCAGAGTTTTTGATGATCATCATTCTAACTGCCATAACATCTTATCTCAATATGGTTTTGATTTGAATTTCCCTAATGATGAGTGATGATGAGTTTTTGCCCATTCAGTATGATATTGGCTGTGAGTCTGTCGTAAATAGCTTTTATTATTGTGAGATACATTCCACTGATACCTAGTTTATTGAGAGTTTTAGCACAAAGGGCTGTAGAATTTTGTTGAAGGACTTTTCCACATCTATTGAGATAATCATGTAGTTTTTGTCTTTGGTTTTGTTTAGGTAACGGATTACCTAACAGTTTATAGATTTGCGTATTTGATGATTTTGAACCAGCCTGCATCCTAGGGATGTAGCCTACTTGATTGTGAGGGATACATTTTGATGTGCTGTTGCATTTGGTTTGCCAGTATTTCATTGAAGATTTTTGCATTGATGTGCATCATGCATATTGGCCTGAAATTTTCCTTTTTAGTGTATCTCTACCACATTTTGGTATCAGGATGATGTTGGTATCATTAAATGAGTTAGGGAGGATTCCCTCTTTTTATAATGTTTGGAACAATTTCAGAAGGAAAAATATCAGGCCCTCTTTGTACCTCTGGTAGAATCTGGCTGTGAACCAATCTTGATCTGGACTTTCTTTGTTTACCAGGCTATTAATTGCTGCCTCAACTTCAGACCTTGTTTTCAGTCTATTCAAGGATTCAACTTCTTCCTGGTTTAGTCTTGGGAGGGTGTAAGTGTACAGGAATGTATCCATTTCTTCTACTGGTTTATGTGCAGAATTGTTTGCAGTAATCTCTGATGGTAGTTTGTATTTCTGTGGAATCGGTGGTGACATTCCCTTTATCATTTTTTAATGTACCTATTCGATTCTTCTCTTTTCTATTAATCTGTCAAGTGGTCTATTTTGTTGATCTTTTCAAAAAACCAACCTCTGGATTTATTTTTTTGAAGGTGTTTTTGTGTCTCTGTCTCCTTCAGTTCTGCTCTTAGTTATTTCTTGTTTTCTGCTAGCTTTTGAATTTGTTTGATCTTGCTCCTCTAGTTTGTGATGACAGGGTGTCGATTTCAGATCTTAACTCATTCTCATGTGGGCATTTAGTACTATAAATTTCCCTCTAGACACTGCTTCAAATTTGTCCCACGGATTCTGGTACATTGTGTCTTCGTTTTCATTGGTTTTGAAGGACATCTTTATTTCTGCCTTCATTTCATTATTTATCCAGTAGTCATCCAGAAGCAGGTTGTTCAGTTTCCATGTATTGTGCAGTTTTGAGTGAGTTTATTAATCCTGAATTCCAATTTGATTGCACTGTGGTCTGAGAGGCTGTTTGTTATGATTTCTGTTCTTTGGCATTTGCTGAGGAGTGATTTACTTCCAATTATGTTGTCAATTTTAGAGTAAGTGTGATGTAGTGCTGAGCAGAATATATATTCTGTGGATTTGGGGTGGACAGTTCTGTAGATGTCTATTAGGTCCACTTGCTCCAGATATTGTTCAAGTCCTGGATAATACCCTTGTTATTTTCTGTCTTGTCGATCTAACATTGACAGTGGAGTGTTAAAAGCCTCCCACTATTATTGTGTGGGAGTCTAAGCCTCTTTGAAGGTAGTTAAGAACTTGCTTTGTGTATCTGGGTGCTCCTGTATTGGGTGCATAAATATTTAGGATACTTAGCTCTTCTTCTTCATTGATCCTTTTACCATTATGTAATGCCCTTCTTTGTCTCTTTTGATCTTCACTGGTTTAAAGTCCATTTTGTCAGAGACAAGGATTGCAACCCGTGCTTTCTCTTTATTTTTGCTCTCCATTTGCTTGGTAAATCTTCTTCCATCCCTTTATTTTGAGCTCTGTGTGTCTTGCATGTGAGATGGGTCTCCTAAATACAAGATGGGTCTTGACTTTGTATCCAATTTGCCAGACTGTGTCTTTTGTTTGGGGAATTAAGCCCATTTACACTTAAGCTTAATATTGTTATGTGTGAATTTGATCCTGTCATTTTGATACTAGCTGGTTGTTTTGTCCATTAGTTGATGCAGTTTCTTCATCGTGTCGGTGGTCTTTACAATATGGTATGTTTTTGCATGGAAGGTGCTGGTTGTTCCTTTCCATGTTTACTGCTTCCTTTAGGAGCTCCTGTAAGGCAGGCCTGGTGGTGACAAAATCTCTCACCAATTGCTTGTCTGTAAATTATTTTATTTCTCCTTTATTTATGAAACTCAGTTTGGCTGGATATGAAATTCTGGGTTGAAAGTTCTTTTCTTTAAGGATGTTGAATACTGGCCCCACTCTCTTCTGGCTTGTCAGGTTTCTGCCCAGAGATCCACTGTGCGTCTGATGGGCTTCCTCTGTGGGTAACCAACCATTCTCTCTGGCTGCCCTTAGCATTTTTTTTCTTCATTTGAATTCTGGTGAATCTGATAATTATGTGCCTTGGGGTTGCTCTTCTTGAGGAATATCTTTGTGGTGTTCTCTGTATTTCCTGGATTTGAATATTGGCCTGCCTTGCTACATTGGAGATGATCTCCTGGATAATATCCTGAAGAGTGTTTTCCAGCTTGCATTCATTCTACCCATCCTATTCAGGTACACTGATCAAATGTAGATTAGGTCTTTTCACATAATCCCATTATTTCTTGGAGGCTTTGTTCATTTCATTTCACTCTTTATTCTCTAATATTATCTTCTCATTTTATTTCATTGAGTTGATCTTCACTCTCTGATATCCTTTCTTCTGCTTGATCGATACAGCTATTGAAACTTGTATATGCTTCACGAAGTTCTTGTGCTGTGTTTTTCAGCTCCATCAAGTCATTTATGTTCTTCTCTAAGCTGGTTATTCTAGTTAGCATTTCATGTAACCTTTTTACAAGGTTCTTAGTTATTTCCACTGGGTTAGAACATGTTTCTTTAGCTCAGAGAAGTTTGTTACTACCCACCTTCTGAAGCCTGCTTCTGTAAATTCATCAGACTCATTCTCCATCCAGTTTTGTTCCCTTGCTGGTGAGAAGTTGTGATCTCTGGGAGGAGAAGAAGCGTTCTGGTTTTTGGTGATTTCATTCTTTTTGTGCTAGTTTCTTCTCATCATGGATTTGTCTACCTTTGATATTTGAAGTTGTTGACTTTTGGATGGGGTCTCTGAAGGAACGTTCTGTCTGTTGATGTTGAAGCTATTTCTGTTTTTTAGTTTTCCTTCTAACAGTCAGACCTCTCTGCTACAGGACTGCTGGTGGTTCACTCCAGACCCTGCTTGCCTGGGAATCATCTGAGGGGGCTACAGAACAGCAAGGATTGCTGCCTGTTCTTTCCTCTGGTAGCTGCATTCCAGAAGGGTATCAGTCAGATATCAGCCAGAGCTCTCCTGTAGGAGGTGTATTTTTGGATATATGGGTGTCAGGGAGCCACTTGAGGAGGCAATCTGTCCCTTATTAAAGTTTAAGTGCTGCACTGGCAGCTTCATTGCTCCCTTTAGCATTGCTGGGTAGGGATGTTTAAGTCTGCTGCAGCGGAACTCACAACCACCCCTTTTCCCTGGTGCTCTGTAACAGGAAGGTGGCGTTTTATTTCTAAGTCCTTGACAAGCTGCTGCCTTTTTTCAAAAAATGCCCTGCCCCACAAGTAGGGAGTCTAGTCACAGTCTGCCTGCAGAGGCACTGCTGAGCTGCCGTGTGTGGGCTCGGTTCAGCTGTTGTGTGAACTCCTTTGGACTTTTGTTTACATTGGTAAGGTTAAAATTGCCTTGGCAATGGCAGATGCCCTTCACCCCACCAAGATAGGCCACCTTGGGTCAAGTTCAAACTGCTATGCTGGCTGCAAAACTCTCAAGCTAGAGGGCTTCAGTTTGCTGGTCTTTCTGGGGGTGGGACCTGCTGAGCCAGATCACTTGGATTCCTACCTGCACCTCCCCTTATTTCGGGTGAGTGGGAGGCTCTGTCTAGCAGGCATTCCAGGTGCCAGCCAAATGGCCACCTGGATTTGTGCCAAGTACTCAAGATGCCAGCTGAAATGGCTGCTCAGATCTGTGCTGGAATCCTGCAGTGCCTGTCGGCCCCAGAAGAACTCTCCAGGTCTGTGTGTTGTAGTGACCATGGGAGAAATGCAGGATCTGAACTGGAGTGCTGGAGTGGCTGGAAAAGCCCCCAATGGCCTCGGCTGAGTAAGAAGGAGTCCTCCAGCTTGTTGCATTTCCCAGGTAAGGCAGCGCCCCATCGTGCTTCGGTTTGCCCTTTTTGGGCTACACTCACCGTCCAATGAATCC